TTCCCTTAGTAGTCCAATCATAAAGGATTCTGTTATGAAACAAAATTAATCAAATGCTATGGAGAAATGAGTTTCACCGTCTTACAAAATTCTCAAATGATTGTACCACTCCTGCGCCAAACTATCCTATGAATGAATACCTAAGCAGTTTTCAAGAAAATTTTAGGCATTTGCTAGCATGATGATTAACCATTACCCGGCATGATCCAGTAAACGAAACAGGCATCGAGGAACAATAAGAATCCACAGAAAAAAACCATTCCTTTCTACAATTCTTTATTTCTTAACAAGAAAAACATAACATTTATGAACAAAAATAAACATACAATTGAGTGAACAAGCTGGTAAACAGGTTCTTTTTCTATGATTTTATGCTGAAAATAGAAAGAGGCAACAGTCTCATATTTTGATTGGAACATGCTTGGAGGCGCTGAGACAAATTTTCGTTCGGATCTTGAACATGAAATTATAATTCCTATTATTACTGCGATAAAACTAAGGAACGAAAAAAGGAACTTGACATTTACTGATCGGAGCAAAGATTTCAAGATTTGATGGAAAAAAGGAGGAAAATTAAGAATCAAAAACAGTGTCGTATGCAAAAGCAACAGGCACATACACGTTAAAAAATTTGAAATCAATGTATAGAACGACCTAACTGTTCCCAACATTCCATAAATCTTCATACTCTAAGAGTACAGTTGGCTTGCTAGGTAGTTCCTAAATATTAAAAAATGCTGGGATTTAAAATACTTTTACTTTCCTCTTCGTTCCTCAGAGGTTCAGCAAGTTTTTACATTCCTCTCATAAATGAATCAAAAGTTTTTTTTTTTTTAAAAACTAGCATTTTGTGTTGTCACGAACAAAGAAACGAACCTGTTTACTGACTCATTCTTGACAGTTATTTACAATAAAATATTGAGAAGTTTTTTTTTTCATTAAGATAGACCAACTCTTTCAGCGAGAAGAGAGCATGACAATACCTACCATCATCAAACAAATTTTCTCATAATTTATTTCTTTCTCTCTAGCTCCGTTACAAGATATTTCTTTGACAAATTCAATAAGATTATTGACCAAATAAATTGAAAGATCCTGATTAATGAAATCCATACCACTTAGTATCCAAGACTGAAAATCTCCCTTGCTATTGAGGATTTTATTGAACATTTTTACTGAATTTCATGTCGTTATTGCTCACTGAAGACAAACGATTCTGCCAGCTGAACACAGAGCTGAACAGAAGCTGAATCTGCGAATGGAGAAATTCGTGTAGTTTCTACACAAGTGATGAAGATTGGATATCTGTTGAACGGTCTTAGCTAGCAAGTTGAGTTTTTTGTTCTGCCCCTTGAATTTTTTTTACAAAAAAATTGTGGAAGCCAGAATTATTATCAATGCTTCCTGCAAAATTATGAATATTTGGGTAAAGGAACAAATTCTACGTTTGGGGACATGCGGTCTGATTGGATTTAGACTAGTTATTTGAGCTAAAATACTCTTACTACTGAGACATCAATTACCTACATGATTGTACGGTCAATAATCAGGGTGTCTATTAACGCTTTATTACCTAAAATCCTTACTTTTCGAGCACTTTTTCTTTACTTTTACTTTCTGTACACCCTGAATATTGTATTTCTAATTATGAGAATGGAGAAGATAATTCAGTGAATACATACTTTCAAGGCAAAGAAATATCTATGACTTAATGGGGAACATCAACATTTAGCACAGAAGGCATTGTAATAATTTAAAAGGTTTTAAAATCCTTAAGCCACAGGATAAAGAAAAAAAAAATCGGCTAGAATAAAATTCTGCAGCAAAATAATCTACAGGATGGAGTAGGGCATAAAATGCACCATCTGCACACAACAAAGCTAATCAACAAGAGTGTAAGTATAATAGCCAACAATTGGAATACAGCTGAAAAATGCCAAAAGAATGGGGAGACACAGATTCTTGCAAATTTATCTTATTACTGATTACATTGAATCAGTCTTCCTAATCACAAGATCCAAGGCCACACGAACAGATCGAACAAAATTCGAAAATCTGGTTTCTTGTAAAATACTAGAAGAGCAAATATTAAGGATGGAGAACTGACCGATAATTTTTAGCACTTGTCCGAGTATTAGTGATGTAAAAATATAAGTTTGAGGAACAACGATATGTTTTAAAAAAGGGTTCCATACTTCAAAAGCACCAAGGACGTTATCAAATGAACGATATCACTAATTAGCAGGCGAATAAACAAAAACACTTTGCCAACCTCAACCGCTCTCAACACCTCAGGAAATAGAAAAATTTTCCAACTTCTGTTGCCGATGAGCCTATTATTACTAATAATGCAATACACATCAAATCTGTAGGTAGTAAAATAATAAATAAACTACTTCAGACGTGTTCTCATGGTTGTTGACAAAGTTGGATCTCCAACTTTAGTCTTTCATCCCTCTCTCAATCTTTGAAGTCTTCAGTATCCTAACATAATTTCGAAATATTCCTAGGGGAACAGCTGGGTTCTGAACTTTTGTTACTTCAGAATTGAAGTTCTCGTCATAAAATGTTGACTGTCGAACGTTGAATGTCTCTTTAATAGAATGTTGGGAGGGTCTTAAAAGCATAAATCGATGGATAAAAGAGCAGTACGTATCTCTGATTGTGACGTTATTCCTGTCATACTTTATTTTTAAGAATAGTCAACTTAATTTCTTGAAAACGTCTTTTAAATTTTTCTTTTGGAATAGCAGAATATTCTGTATACATATCAAGCTATAAAGTGGGTTCGTTTCTCTTCCAAAAAATAAAATAGAAGCAGAGATTTTGAAACACTACAATGGGGATACATGGTTACGCACTTAGCCCATCGAAATATACAGTTAAGAGACAGGTTATTCCATGTCAATTCCATGCCAAGAAGTATTGAAGATATGAAGCTGACAATTTGGGTTTTTTCTTGTTTTTGACATGGAATGATCCAGACGGAATAAACTCAATATACAAAATAATCTGTTCATTCTGAAAGTCAACACAATCGACCTTTCAACATTCTTTTAAAATTTTCACCCTAAATGAAATACATTTTTGCTGTTCGTCTTAATGCAAAGGAAAAAAATAAAGGATTTCAAAAAAAAGAAAGAAAAAATCCAGATCCTATGACAGTTTTTCCATTAAAGAACCAATTTTCAATCCTATCACTTACGGCTTTGTTTAAAATGATCATACCATGAAATTAAATTGCTATTAGATTCTTTGAACTTAAAAATTCTTTGATAGATTCTGAAATTTGATTCCGCATTACAGGTTTACGAAACTGAAATTAGGAAATAATAAAGCTGCAACAAAAATTAAAGGAAACCAGTCGAATGAGATAAAAATAAAAAATGAATTCTCCACCACAGGAGGCACAAAATAATCAAATTTGTTCCTATTTAATAGCAGGAAACCACAGATGGAAAATACAATGATAAAAGCGATAAAGAAAAGGTTTACCACCACTTCCAGTAAATTTTATTCTTCTTCGCAACAAAACGTTTAAAGAAATAGAGGATTTAATTAGACAACTTCGAAAATAGACCACAGAAGAGCTAATTATTGCTGATATTATGCAAGCAAGATGAACTTAAAAGTACTATCACACATTCATATGTAGCAAAACAGAACTGTTATGGTGGTCGCAAGTGCTTGGTAGCAGATTTAGCAACAAATATTATAATTTTCTTGGTAAATTAAATATTCAAGACTGCTTTGGAGTAGATTTTTTTCTTTTCATTCTATATACAACATGGAACTAATATCACCCAGTATCCTGTGCAAGGATTTAGTTATTTGAGGATGGATTTTAAAGTAATTTGTAGATTTTTAATGAGCCTTGGTGGTTACTAAGCCCAGACAACCAGACAAGAAGGTCAAGTTCTAGAAACTCAAAGGTCAGAAAAAAGTGATACTGACTCAGAATTTCGCCCAAAAAAGGAGGTGCGTAATGAAACGCGTACCTAAAATTTTTGCCTGAAAAAAAGGAGAAAACTCACACTCCAAAATAACTGAATAAAAACTCGGATCGATAGCAGACTGCAATCTTCAGTCATCAATCATTTAAAAACGCTTAATTAATAATAAAATAAATCTAATATCACAATATCAGTTTAATGTACCTTCTCCATGGGTCACAAAATGAAGGGAGGAAAAGAAAATTAAAAAATTACTGAAAAACCATAACCTCACCCGGACAACCTCCCCCTCCCCTGCACAACACAAAACAAAATTAAGCTGAAAAAATCATACCGAAATTGCTGCTAATCAGCTTTCCGGATATCAAACCAACTTGCGTACTTCGATCTCTGGGGGGGAAAAAATATTTGGCACAATACTTTTCCTGGTTTCATTTGAATGATGCTTTCTCCAGCAACAAGCATAAAATTTGTGAATAAAAGCTGACTAAACCACTCGGGACGTGATTTCCTAGACCCGAAAACTGTAGAATGCAATTTTCATCTCGGTGTTGCAACAAATTGTAGAATGGTGCAGACAGAAACCGTGTGTAAAAGCAAGTACAGCACCTGCATATAGATGGCTAAATTGCGAAACCACGTATCTCTGTTTGCAACTTCGGAGACTTTTTGTCATACTTCATTTATTCTTTAAAAATCTAATTGACGTAATTTCTGGAAAACTGCCTTGATGTTTTTTTCTCTTCTGCCAGAAGATCGGTATAAATTTCGAGTTATATAGGTGGCTTGTTTCTCTTCAAAAATTAAAACACCAGCAAGAATTTTGAAACACCATCATAGGGATACATAGTTTGGCACTTAGGTCATCGTCACTTACAAAAGCAGAAGAAGTGTGCAATAGAATTTTAAATGATTTCTACATTAAGTGCAGGGTCTAGGAAAAATGTAATTTCAGAGAGAAGACAGAAAGAGAGGACCTTCACTTAGACTGGAATAGCATCCAGAGGAGATGCAGTGAAATTATATATAGGTCAGGCTAACTCTAAAATTTTGATGATACCCTGACTATTTGCAGCGACAACAACATTCGATAACTGCCGCCAGCAGACAGCAGAAACGAACTCATTTGCTTCGTCATCTTTTTTATCTTTCTCCAAAACACTCCGTACAGCATCAAACTTAAAACTGAACAACTGTTTGGTTAAACCCTTATAGTAAACATACAAAGCATTATTTTCCGAGCCACACGCAATGTAGTCCTCGTTTGCTGCTAGACCGACGAAATTTTTCTCATTAATGTGTCCAACTAGTGAGCGTAAGCAGTAGGATGTGTTGATGTTCCATAGTTTAAGTTGACTATCCGTTGAGGCTGAGACAATATCTTCGTTGTTCAAGAATTTTACGTAGGATACAGCTTTCCGATGACCTTCAAATAGAGCCAGGGGTGCTTTCATATTTCTAAGGTCGTAGTAGTGAACGCAGTGATCGGCTGATCCGAAGGCAAGGTGATTCGAACTCCCAGGATTAAATTGAACGCAACATACATTAGCTTTGGCTTCTAGGGATGCAACGGAATGGTCAACATCCAAGGACCACAATTTCACTCTTGCATCATCTGATCCAGATGCTATTAGCCTAATATTTACTTTATTAAAATCAACACTCCAACACCTTTTTTCATGTTCTTGAAACGTTCGTGTACGTTGGCCTGTATTCACATCCCATACGGTCACTGTTCCTTCGTAATCACTGCTAGCTAACGTATTTTTATGGTATGAATTCCAACTTAGACAAGAAATTTTTGAATTTGACAGCATCTCTATGCATGGATAGTGAATATCAACAATGTCTCTGATCACTGCGCCATAATCATAAACTTTTATTCTTTTGGTAACTCCTGCTATCGCAAAGAATTCATTGTCTTTGTCGAACTCAATGCTCGAGACTATAGTCGAATTGTTAAAAATATCACTGGAATAGTTGAGGGTTGCTAAAGGACGCAGCCCACTGAATCTGGAAAATTTCACGAGGTTATCACGAAATTGGTCCAGTCCAGAGGAGGGACCCGAGGAACCGAGTGGTTTGTCCTTGTCTTTTTCTGGAACTGGAGATTTGTCATTTTTACTGAATAGGAGTTCTTTAGCCCTTAAGTTAAAATAACAGCGAACAAAATCATTGAAATGAGCGTGCATACGTTTTCTCCTCATTGATAATGATCCAATAGTTAAGTTATTACTATTTTTTTGGCTACCATTGAAACTTTCCACACTATCGCAGCTCATTCCTGCATCAGACTTGGCCTTATCTGATGGAGGAAAATCTTCTTGGTCAAAACTACCTTGTTCCAAATCAATACCTTTAACATCTATTGTCGATAATATGCTTTCCACTTCGTTGATGTCTCTCTTGATTAAACTTACTTCTTTCGTCAATTGATTTAACTGTGCTTCTTTGTGTTTCAATAAATGCTTCAGAAATTCATGTAGTAATTTATTTTGAACAGCGCATGACTCAGCTTCTAAAATACTTTTACGCTGGTTTAAAACCTCTAAAATTACATTCACATCTGCTAGAGCTAAATTTTGCGACTCAGAAGCTACAAAACCTCGTAAGTTATCCGATAGAGGCGGTAGTGGATCATCACTGACTTTATCACTACCACCAACCAAGTCCTTCAGATTTCTAACTTTTGTCTTATACTTGGTGATTAACTCGTTCAGAAGGAAATTGGGAAAAATGTGTTCCCTTCCACCGATCATACTGTTGCATTTTGGACAACGGTTGTTTCCTTCAAGGCTTTTTGATATGCACTGAAAGCAGAAGGTGTGGCCGCATTTTGTAATGTGCGCTTCCTCGATCAATTCAAAGCAAATGGGACACAAATAGTCATTAGTTTTATCTTCGAACGAATTTTTCACGCCCTTCAAGACGTACGGATGCTGTCTCTTCAGGGGCCGGGAGCGAATCGGTGTATTGGTTAATGAAGAGGACCCGCTGGCCATACCGCCAAAATTGAGTTTACTCAGTACTTACGAACTGAAACAGAGAGATTAAAAAATGCTAATGAAATTTCCATCAAGACTATGATACAACATTTTTAGAAATGCAACTGTGAAGCTCTCTCCTTCCATCTTGCTATTTTTAAATGTTCACTGCCCAAGGCAACCACTAGCAATAAAATTATTTTTTCCCTGCACTTACAATACCAAATTTTCATTTTATCTAATTATAGCGCACCTCCTGGCATAATTTACTCATGTTGTAGAAAAAAAATCTTATGAATAGTTGAAACAGATTGCAAATAAAAGGATTTCAAATGCTCTTGGAGTATGATTCAAAAATCGTTCTTGGTGATTCTGTTCCCACTACGAATTGAGAGCCTGATAGCAAAGTTTTAACTGTCTGCTTGATGATAAGCAAAGGTCATTTTAATTTGGAAGTTCAAATGAAAAATATTCAAATAAAGAGTGAGAAAAAAGTAAACAGAAGAAAAACATAGACCTAGTTGTTACTGAACTTTACATAGTTTGAATGTTGAAAAATTATGAGACACAAGAACGGTTTTCAATTAATGTCAATCTGTTCAAACGTCGAGGGGGGGTGTAAGTAATTTTCCATTTTGGATTATGCAAATCAAAAAACTTTCTATTCACAGGGTTTGATGGGCAACCGGAACTTGATGGATTAAAATAATTTGATTTCGTACGAAATTTACTTTACATGGAAGTACATTAGCGCAAAATTCTTCAGAAAGCAATTGATTTTTGACATAATCCTTGAAAGGTAGTTCCAAGTTTCAGTAATACAAATATTTATACAAGGGATATTGACTCACAACAAAAGAATCGTAATGAAAGGAAATATCATTAGCACCTTTCAAATCTCTATCAAAGGCTATTAACACTTTTTTCCCTCTAGTTCTCTCTTTGTTTTATCCCTGAAATCTCCAAGTTTGCTCAAAGTATCCAAGTCTCACACTGAGTTTCTTCTTAATTTTGATTGCTGAATTTCTGACTCATCTCTCAATTAAGGCTAGTGTGCCAAGGTCAACCTCCATTTCAGCCAGCAATGTAGGAAATGCTCAATTTAAAACCCGCAGAAAATGTCAGGGAATTTCCAAAAGCGATGGCTTTTTCTTTCTACATAACTTTATTTTATATTTAATCGCTTAAAAAATGGGGGAATATCACCAATTGTTGAATATCAATTGATCCTCCCGGAAAAATCGGACATTTTGCTATGAAATTGGAAAATATTCTATTCAGTTAAATTCTAAATTAGAGACTTGGCAGTGAGACAAAATTCCATAAGTCACAAGAAGTAGTTGAAGTATTAGACTTTTTGTCCTTCAGATTCCAGTTTTCTCCATGGCATTCTGGGGCATTTTTAGGTAAAAGTCTTTTCCCATTTTTCCTGTTTTACAGGTTTCCCGACCATTTAAATAATATGAGAAAAAGGTTGAAGAGGAAGAGTAAAGACTGTCCTTCAAAACACACCGTGTATTTATGCTAAAAGGAACTATGTGCTTAGGGTTTCCGTTAAATACAGTTCATTTTAGCATAAATACATCCAAATAAAGTACAGGTTGCTTTAGAGAAGCACAATATTCACAACTAAAACATTTCATCTTAATGGAACAAGGATGTAAATGAGAACGTAGCTTTGTTTTTAAATGAAGTAGTCGATGTTAGTTTCGTCTGAAAAGACAAATTTTACGGGCAAAGAAAAAACTGTTTCCTAAAAAAACAAAGTATCAGATGGACGTCCAAACGGCCATTTAATAATGTTACGAGTAAGTATAGTGAGTCAGGACCACTTTGGACAATCTAGTTCAATCTAGATATGATTCATAAATTATAGCCATGTTAGGTTTTTGCATGAAATGACCAAAAGGGGTGATTTATACATTTTTTTATTCTTTTAATGAAACAGTTTTATGAGTTTTTGTGTAGTCTTCACACAGATATGGAAAATATTAAAATTCCAAAAAAGAATTTGCCACAAAAAACCCTCATCATAGATTTATTGAACTTGTTAGGTTATAAAATTGACTAGGTAATAGAAATAGATCAAGAGATAGATCCAAAGTTTCTATTAATGAATGCCAGACCTCCTCTTCACGTTTTTACTCCTTCCTGACCAACAGAAACAGACTAAGTAATCTGTCTGCGTCAGTCAAGATACTAATTCATACTGAATGATCATCAATAATTCCGAGGGCTTGTTTGTCGATTGCTGAATTATCAGAAAAGCCAAAAACCGAAACGCCAATCTCAAGATCAATCTTTTAAGGATGATCATCCGACAAATCAACTTTCATCTCTTCAATTATGACTTAATTTGACCTTGCTGCACTTATAGCTGGTGCTTTACTTCACTCAAAATACAAAGCACATTGTTCCTACACTGAATTAGCAGTGGAGTGCTCCGAATTTTGGACTTTCCCCAAAAAATGGGATACACATGCAATTGGTTCTTTATGGTGAATAATGAATTGGGGGGGGGGGGATAATTTTCAGTGTTGTCACTACCCTCGGAAGTAAACACCATCGGAGCAAAATAGTGCCGATAATCACGTTTTGTAGCAGATTAAATCTAAAATTAGGCATGCAGTAGGCCACTGAAACTTTCGAAATTGAACACATGATGAGTGTGTTTTATTGATGTTTGCCAATATCGAATTTTCAGAGATATACACCTACAAATCAGTTGAAAAAGCAAGTTTTCGTGGATTTCTGTAGTTTTTTTCCCTACCATTTGGCATCTAGGTAAGTTCAGAAATAAAGAACAGCACTCAGAAGATTAGAGTTGGAATAAAAGCACAGTTATTTGATTACTTTAGGGCCGTAAATTGGTGGTCTGTTCTTTGGTTTCTCAGAATTATCTCCAAGATTGGCCTTAAATTGGCAGAATAAGCAATTTTACTATTAAATTTATGATATTTCCCCAGCATCCATCTTAGTGCATGTGCTTGCAGATGGCTCAAATTTTGAACTTCATCATCGTTTGAATTTCTGTTGAGCTCTTTTGCAGACTTAGAGACAAGTTTTCCAGGTTTACAAAAATGTTACATGCTGTTTAGCTTAAAATACAAAAAGCCTGGTTCGTCTATCTCCTGATTTTCTTAGCATACATATTCTCACTATGCTAAATGTATTTATTAACTCTCATTAAACAAAATCATGGTATTTTTATTCAGCCAAAGATTTATTGGCACCATCATGTTCTAAGGCTAGCTTACGATCAATATCCTGCAAGAGTCCCTACTCCTTCTTTCCACTGGTGTGTCAAAAATTTGAAATATTTCGGTTCTGCCTAAAATGCATTGCACAAAGGCGGAACATTCACCCACAGCGTTTTCAATCAACTTCTTGCCCAAGCATAACCTCAACACTTTTCAGACTGTCTACTTTGTCTAATGGTCCGTTAATCGGACAAAAAAAAAGAGATGAGACCAAAAAAAAAAAAAATTCAAACTATTCTTGGTAAAGCAGAGCCGTACCAGGACCGCAAAGTTTACCTAGAGACTAGTTTACGATAACTATCTCCTAGAAACTTTGACTGAATCCTAAGTGCCTGATATCACGATGTTCAAAGTTAGGGATGTTATTCATTAGAACTAGTTTTATCAAGCGCTGATCTCAGACATAATTAGTAGGTAGTACCAGTTTTCCCAATTTCAGACTTAAGAAATAAAACTTACTTTTTCAGGTGGTTGGTTAGCTTTCCATTGCAAGTTTCATTAAACCGCTCTGTTGCTTTGGTCAATTGAAAATCTTTCCCTTCCTCTCCATAAACACCTAGTACAAGTCCTTTCTGTGAAAAAAGAAGGGGAAAAGAAGAGTTAGATGCTGTTGAGTGCTGCTGATATGTTGAAGAAAAAAGTCATTCTTCTTTTCTGCATAGAAAGTTGGTAGTGTAGCCGAAGTGTGATACAAATCAGCATGGAGCTGAAAATCTCAATATAGAGGGAAAAAGATCATATGTTTTTTCAGAATGAATAAATCAAATCAAATCTAATATTGAGATTTTCAGCTTAATGGACTCGTGCTGTCAATTTGTTCATTTCTATGCCCCGTAGAAACATGCCCCTTAAGAAAGAGAGAGGATTCAGTGTTCAGGGCCATGAAACAAGTTGATGGCAACGGCGCAAAACCACTTATCTCCGTTTGACACGTTGCAAACTTCTGTTATACTTAAATTTTTCTCCTTAAAACTAGTCAACATAATTTCTTGAAAACTTCCGTGATTTTTTTTTCAGTTGGCAGAATATTCTTTGAAAATTTGAAGCTATAAAGTTTGCTTGTTCCTCTTTGAAAAATCAAATAAGAGTGGCAATTTTGAAACACCGCATCGGAGTTACCTTGTTTTGCACTTTGGCTATCGAAGTGCATGAGGGAAAGGGGGAGGCTACGCTTGCATAATGGCGATGAAGGATGGAGTCCAGCACTGCGTGACACAAAGCTTGAGTTTCTACTTATTCCTTCGCTTCATGACTGAATTTGGACTTAAACCTTCGATATATTGCAGTGATTTGAAACTTTTAAATTGTTAGAGCTGAAAGATAATGGACAGATGTCACGTTGCAAAATAGTACCATTCAACGGAAATTTATGTTTGTACTGGCCAGTCACCAGTGGGTCGTCACTGATGATTGATGCACTTCAGGTTGATGTGACATTTGTCCATTTTTTCTTTTCCCAGTTCTAAATGTTATATGAATTTGTTCAGTTTAACCAGCAAAGGCCATCAAATATGTGCCACCATAAATTCGTTGTATCCATGAGTGCAGAAACTTCCATACGAAAATGGGGGAGCCCGTGTGAGGATGAGAAAAATGGGAGAACCCTGCGAAAAGGAGCTGTTTTCATTTTTTTTTTTTTTTTGGCAAGGCGGGGAACAAAACATTCAAGCGTCCTGTTTTGAGGAAACAAAACTGTCGACTGCATTACTAAATGTGTCAGGTAAAATTCTGCGATAACTTCAGAGAGGGGAACCTAAATTTATTATGTGGGAACCCTTAGGTGTTTCTGCACCCCTGGTAATTTCCTAACAATCAGTACTTCAATGCTTCGTGCCTCTTCTCATGGGACTGTCCCACGAGGACAGATGATCTGCTACCCCGTTTTGAGTGTATCAAATTATTTAGCTGTAACTCTACTTTAATGTGCTGGTGGGATGTTGGCACAGAAGATATCTCTCGGGGAAAGAAGGATGGAGACAAAGCTTAGCTTGATTTATGGATCACGGCCAAATCAATTTGACAGTATAGACAAAACTACGCCTGCTGCAACTCTAGCTAGATAGTCGCAGCCCGAGTCCAAACTAGTCTCGAATCTTGGGTGTCATCCTCATCAAGTTGGTTGCCCGGTCCACAGGGGTTGATGCAAGATACGGATGCGCTCGCATCGAGCGTGATAGTAAAGGAGAAGGTGAAAGTGTGAGAGCGGTGATAAGACCAAACTCTGGGCAGTGTGATCGGATAGTGAAAGTGCAATGTCTAAAGCCCAATGATATAAGGAGAAGGTGAAAGAGGTGGATGACTGCTATGTGGCGCACACATAACACTATCACACTTTCTCATGAACAGAAACCTAACCTAAGTTTATCAGACCACTCATAGTAAGTAAAAGGTTGGTTAGAATTAGAGGTAACGCTAAAATATTAACTGCAGTTTGGAATACTTGAGTGCGACTGCATCCATGAAGTTCTTATTGATAATATGGATGTGGATGCTTTAAGAAAGAGAATGTAAGTGACGATACTTCGAAGACATTCTCATCATCGCAATCCCTTTGCCTAGTTGAGTAGAGGACCCTGGATAGAGGTGTTGATAGTGAGAAAATACGTATCGGAGATGAAACGGGAAACAGGAATATAAAATTACTATTTTGAGACTTGAGTGAATGAGAGAATAATCGGAGTTAGAAGATAAGTGATAGACATACCTGGTAGGAGTCAACATGGGAAGCAAAACCTCTCATGGCAGTTTGAGAGACACTCCAAAGATTGGTAGGCTTGAGTCTGACTAGAACACTATTTGCCATACCACGATTAGGCAAAGAAAAGACAGAAAATCGGAGCTTTCAGAGAATTATAATGCATAAACGATAAAAAATTATCACAACTCAAAAAGCCACTCGTAAAGCCCCGTGAATCAAACTGCTGAATCAATCTGAATCTGGCTGTTATTGCTGTAGGTTGATGTTGATTGGCCTGATCTTGATTCGTCACATCTAAAGCAACCAATAAAAACATAGAAAACTATTTTGAATTTGCCGCGTGAGCTCTCGACAAACCGTGCAAATAGGTAATTTTGAGCTATTGAAACTCATTATCCACGAGTTTCTTAGAAAAACATGTGAAAAACGTCTCCTCATGTGTATTAGGTATAATCATTATTAATTACCTATGTGACTATACGTATGAGCATAGGCGGTTCTAGACCTTCATGCTTGGGGGTGCCCAGAGGTGGGAAATGTCGGCACCGAAGGAGACGGTCAATCAGGAGAGGCCTAAGTTTCGGCCCTCAAGTTTTGACCCTTTCCTACCCTCCTTCCTCTTTTTCTCTCCTTCCTCTCTACTTAAATATACCTATAAATTCAATGTAGAAAATTTTTAGCAAAACTTTCCATCAAAACTACAATCTTACCATAACAAAACAATATAATCTTTGTAAGACACGGCTATCAATATTAATTCTGTTTAAAAAATTTTCAATTAATTGCTGAGATTTTTTCTCAGTGTGAGCAAATCTTTAAAAGCAGTATAATTTCACGGTTCCGATAACCGTACTGAATTTTTACTTGGGGGTGCCCGGCACCCACTGGCACCCCCGTAGAACCGCCTATGCGTATGAGAACCACCGCGTGCATCGTGTGAAGTTCTTCGNGAGGAACCCCCCCCCCCCTACACATCTGAATGAGGCGACTCATGAATACCTCTTCTGAATTTAAAAAATAATCAACAGGGGTGAGCACATGGGGGGGGGGAAGAAAGTTTGAAAAAAATAAGAAATTGAAGTCGCGTAGCCTTCGGCTCCATCCTTTATTATCTTATCTGATATATTATTATGTAATTTCCATCGATTTACTCCTTCATTGGAGGGTTACAGAGATAAGTGAGCGTAGAGCCATCTCTTTCTTATTCAGTAATTACTGGCGTCTCAAATTTATTTAAATATTTCTGTAAAGTATTTTGCCAGCCATAGTTTATTGAGAAAATATTTTAAAAAATATTTTGCTATAGGAGGGAAGATGTTCTCATACCTCCAAATCGTCTCTGAAGAAGTTAAAAAGTATACTGCATCATCGAGAGATAAGAAAATTTCTTTATTTGTAAGTTAAAGTTAACAAGTGTTAAGACTCTGGATGTATAACTTATCTTTTTCAAAGGGAGCCCCCTTGCATTGTTGAAAAAAGTATTTATGAAAAGAAAATCTTTGGTGCAGATCGGAAGTACTTATTCATCTACATTTGTAATAGCAAATGGCCGCATTTTAAAATGTCCAAAGGTTTTCAGCCAAATGAATAATGGAAAATGAAAATGAATGGGAAAAATGAAAAACTCTGAGGAATGTCAGATCTGTGTACAAATATATTACACACCACTATCACATTATTCTGAGTAAAAATTATAATTACTAACAAATCATTTCTTACCATCAGGGCCGGATTTACGTTTTTGGCGCCCTGTGCAGAAATTTTCGAGGCGCCCCCCTCGCACGTCCCCCCCCNCCCCCCCCCCCCCCGCCCGCGCATTTCCCAACCCGACGGTCTTCTTTGGTTACTAAGTGGAACACAAAATTAATAAGTAATAAAAATGAAAATTCCAGTTTTCTATTTTTCAAAAATTGCAGTAAAGGTGGCATGAGGAGATTCTTGGATGAGTACTCAGTTTTCAAAGGATGCCGATTCAGATATAGGCAAAACATGCCAATTCACAAAAAATAAATTGATATTCAGTGATTAAAGGTAGAACATGGAAATTAATACAAAACAGATCGCTAAGCGGTGGGTGAGAAAAAGTGGCCTCTTCTCTTGGACACGAATCTCTAACAGAATTTTTAAGTATCTATTACCAGAGGGAAATTTTTACAATAAATAAACAGTTTGCGACAAGAGAATACACAAACGATAAAGATGCGGTAGATTCAACTAGAGCATCAGTCTTGCAAATACTGGAGTCAAAGTAATGTCAGTACATAAATTAGAATCATGAGTATCTATAGAGTTTAACAGTCCGAACTTGAGAATCTACAATTTTAGGAGTATTTATCAGGTTCATTTAAATATTTCTGGAAAAATCAGAGATGTTTCATGATTAACCATGAAACTTTGCCACCTTGAGCTGCACTAATGATCAATGCGCTCGTATATGCAGCTAACAATAAACATTGGGGTCATCCCTACTATACCTGCCTCTCCAAAAGAGGGTGGACGGTATTGAAGGAAGCATTACGTAAAAGTTCTGAGTAATCTTTCCCAGGTTTTTGAGTGTTTTTCTCTTTGTGCTTCTTGAAGAATCCAAAATCAAAAGAAGATTTTGGAGGCAAAAATACTTCTTCTTTAAATGCTGAAGTTTGGACCTCTTTGGGCATAAGGAAATGTAAACAAAAAGACACCCCCATACTTAAAATAAATGACAGGGGGAAATGTGTCATATCTTATACTTTGGAGGAGGTGGTCTGGATCAGCACAATGTAACTTTTAAAGGGAGCCGACACTGCTTTACAGAGCATTACAAAAAGCCGTGAATATATCGTAAATATTTAGGGATGACCCCATACAAATTATTAAAAATATATTTACAAAATT